TCAATTATAGTGAGTGAAATATATGTAGTGTGTAGAAAGTTATTGTCCAGTATGATATATGTTATTGGTATGACTAGAATTGCATCACATGACATTATTAGTGGCTGAAACCAAACACGACACTTATTTATAGAGTTAATGTGTTATATTTTTAAATATAAGTTATGTCTCTGTACTATCTGAAATCAATCAGTCAGTCAGTCAGCTACAACGTAGGACCAGTAAAATATATGCATCGGTCCAAGTCGCCGTACCTCATTAGCACAACAAGATGAACACCAGATTCATAGAAGTAGTCAATTCAGTGGTGGTAATGTAGTACAGGAGGGAAGAATTAGTTGGTAGAAAGAAAGATATGAAGCGATTTTAATCGGGAAGGCAGAGAGTGTATACACCTACGCCATTTTGGTCGATTCTGAACCCAAAATCTCTAACCATTGGTTACGATAGTCACGCGGACCTAAACCAAGTAGTTTGCATCTACCAACATTGCCCACACCAGAATTTAGTGACTTTGTGGACTGATGTCAAGTTTTGGTTTTGCCGCCCCTAACTTTCTTCCAATCATCCCCAACACTAGTTAGCAAGTGTCTGAAATGACATAAATAAATAGTTTATTTCTTAAAACTAATTAAAATGGTACTGATCATCTGTCTTTCGATTAAAACATTGAATATTCAATTTTACTTAAATCAGTTGCTCACTTCAAAAAAAAATTTCTTTCATTTCATTTTTTCTCAATATTCAAGTTAATCGATCAGGAGTTGACTATTAATCAGAATTTCACTGCATAACAACTATACTAACCAGTTAACAGAAAAAAAAAAGAAATAAAATTGTCTGTATAAGATATTATAGAGTATATTGAATTTATAGTTTCTCATCACAGACTGACTCTAGTTGTGCAGTTATAAAAATTTTGCAAGTATTAGATAGCTATATCTTCCTAGGATAGGACCATTTAGCAATATGTATCCATGACTTACATGCTTCAATGTGAGCATATAATTTTTCAGCTATTGATTTAACATTTGTTCGTTAACATTTCTATTCTGGCCTCAAGAGGTATTTCCTGGAGTTCTAGTGGGAAGCAGTGACCAGTAGAGTTCGACCGGGTCTGTTGTGAGATAGTAACTCACTGATGACAATGGTGGATGTGTCACTGAATTTTGTGGATTAGTTGGAGTTAGACATTAACACCGTTGGATGCTGGCTGGCTCATTGGTCTAGTTGGTTAAGCACATGGCGCGAACTGATAGGTCCTGGATTAGAATCCCGCGAGGCGGGGTCGTGGATGCTCACTGCTGAGGAGTCGCACAATAGGACGAATCAGTCGTCCTGTGCTTTCATGTTTTTCATGGTGGTCCAGCTTTAATTGACTCATTGACCCATTAAGAGCCAGAATGATCTTAACAATTATTTCGTTCTAGTATGAGACTCTATATCTGTGTCGTTATATAAATCCACCAAAGATCTCAACTATTAAAAGTAGACAAATAGATCAAACTATACACATTTATAATATATACAAACATCAACTCTCTAATTACAATTCAATTTAATGTTAGTTAATTCATTTTAAAATAAGCTGTAAACGAGTAAATGAAGTGTAATATACAATATACACATTTCTCTACTTCTGGTACTTCTTAAAATAATGAATGGACGCGGTAAAGGTGGGAAAGTTCGTAGTAAGGCTGAAACAAGGTCAGCCCGTGCTGGTCTTCAATTCCCTGTTGGTCATGTACAAAAATTACAATTTAAGTTTTGTATAAAGTAAATTCATGATAATAAATTATCAAGTTTTAAATAGACAAAAATTTTATTTAAGTGCAAAGAAAAAAAATAGAGAAAAAGAAAAAAAAGAGAAAAGGAATAAAAAAAATAAAAAGAATGACGAGAAATAAACTATCGTATAATAATGATATTTTAAATGATTTAGGAACAAAATACATTTATCTTCCATGTATTCACTAATACATACATACATACATACATACATACATACATACATACATACATACATACATACATACATACATACATACATACATACATACATACATACACAATGAATCTATTCACTTGAATAGTGTTAGTACATATACTGAAATGAAACAAACGGAAATCTGTATGCATTTAGAATGAAAGTTATAACATTGTTATTTCACTTTCGACTGATGATGTATACTACTTATATTTATCGAGATCAGTAGCACATACGATTAAGGGAATTAAGGTCAAGGAAGGATGAGAGATTGGACGAATCGTTTCTGCACGCAAAGTTCAAACTTAAGTTCATGGATTGTCAATGCTTCAACAGTGCATAAAATATTATCGAATTAATATTCCATGTATTCACTAATACATACATACATACATACATACACACACACAATGAATTCATTCACTTGATTAGTGTTAGTATACACTGAAATGTAACAAACAAAATAAGGAAACAAACGGAAATCTGTATGCATTTAGAATGAGAGTTATAATGTGGTAAAAAAAAAGTTACTTTAATATATAGATTGGGCTCCTATTTTTTAATTTTTATTTCAGTAATCGATGATAAGTAGGTAGTTTTCATTTGATCTGAATGTTGTTTTTTTTTTCAATAAAATAACTTTGATTCTTTCTATTCATTTTAAAATTTAATTCTATATCCGTCTTAGCAACAATCATGGAGACATTCTTTATAGGACGTTGAAAAAGGTGATATACGAATGTTGTTTAGTTATTAGATGATTGGAAAAACTGTCCGAAAATACAAAACAACCTCCAACTATCATCTAACATATAATATCAAGTCACCCAGATTTATGATGATATTAGAACTCTCTTCAAAGAATTAGATTAACACTAAAGACTAAATAAAGATAATATTACTTATGACTTAGTAATCTATTGAGTGTAATTGTTGTTCAGTCTGTGAAAGGTTTTCTAACTAAAGTTACCTCTTGATCAATAGCAACTTCTTATTGAACAATCCTTAATCCATGTCGAGTAGAGATAGGCATCTATCTCAGTACAGTGGAGGATGGTCGTGCGATTTCGTGGATTGGTTGAAGTTAGACATGAACACTGTTGAATGTCGGCCGACTCAGTGGTCTAGAGGTTAAGCGTCCGCGCGTGAGATCGATAGGTCCTGGGTTCGAATCCCGTGGGCGGAATTGTGGAGTCACACAACAGGACGAAACGGCCATCCAGTGCTTCCAGGTTTTCAATAGCGATCTCGCACTAATCAGTTCATGATCTCAATCAAAAATCCCTACGAACTTTGATTTGAATATCTATGTTTGTTCACTTATATGTCATTTTGTTCACTATCTGGGGTTTTTGTAGATGGAGTTTAAAGTGTTCAAGTATTAACAGACAGAATAAAATTATGTCGATATTAAATGCGTTTACGTCAATTAGTTTTGGTGAATTAGAATGGTATTTCGTTTGTCTTATATGTTTCAAATTAGCTTGTTTAACTTTTGACAACTAAATTATTTTCCACACAACAGTTAAAGTAACTTTGTGAATTTTATTCCAACTTGACTTCTTGTTGAGTTTAAGTGTTCGTTTGTTCTTGCTCACTACACTGAGTATCTATAAACAAATAGGAATTTTTTGGACTGAAAACGAGACAAAAGATTCTCACTCTTGAGAAATTCATACATGAGATGGTGTTTTCTAAGTATGGAATATCTATTTTTAATAATGGATTCGTTGGTAATTTGATCTTTTCTTACTTTAAGTTGAAAATGATTTACGTCTCATACAAAGCATACTTAAACCAGCATTGAAGATCTAGCTGTTTCAATTTGTTATGATATTCTCTAGGGACATTCACACACACACACATACGACCACATCATAGATCAAATATTAGTCTGTCAGGCTCAGTGGTTAGTATCTTATATTTAGACCATTGAGCTTAACTCTAATAGTTCATAATTTTTACTTTAACTTAAGGTCTCGCGGTAACTGCTTTACCTTAAAACCACTCAACCACCATCCAATTGTGTACATTTCTAACTTCAATCAATTCACAATATTAATCAACCATCTTTCAATCCTATTGGTAATTAACTAACATGCAACATGATCATTACGAATCTCTGTCTAGCCCACAAAAAATTAGTCAATAGTGAACACATCCATCCATTCAACGCTTTTTGATCTTCAATAGTTATCTGACTAAGATCAGTCTATCATCAGACTTGTAGTGGCTATGCTTCGTTGACCAATCACCCTTGTAACCGCTACCATATAATCCTCAAGGATGTTTGAAATCAAAAGGCAAAGAGAGAAGCAGCGACTACAGTTTTATTAGCAGATAACTCAGACCACAAAGCAGTAAGGCGAATGAGTGAATCAGCGAACCGAGTGTTAAATATACATGTATATATATATATATATATATATATATATATATATATATATATATAAAGAAATGAATGGATCGTCGAATCCATCAAGCAGTTACTAATAAAGCTAACAGAATGAATATATGCGTAGGCGGTAAGCAATGGTTCAAGCATACATATTTCATACAACCACAATAATTGTAAAGGTACAATAAGTTGTTATAGTACGGATGACTTTGTCCGCTAAATAAGTTAACAAAACGGTTTAACCGAATTAAATAAGAACAAACTCAACTGCACGTGAGTTGCTATAACTTACACAAATCTCTATACTACTAAGACTAGTACTTGTTCAAGACTATTACTCATTTATTTTATTGCTATAATCCTTTCGAGATTTACAATATTGAATAGGTTCATTGGTGAAATTCTAATGAACTATTTTTTTTTGCTTTCACTGTTTTATTATTCAATGCTGATATTCTTTTTTTCTTTTTCTCCCCCTCCCTTTCTTCTATTTTGTCACTTTAGATTTCCAAAAATTCTATTTTCCGTTTTTGATTAAATGCAATTGATAACATAAAAAGAAAAGAATAGAAAAAAAGAAAAAAAGAAAAAAATAGAAAAAAAAGAAAGAAAAAAATGGGTAACATTTTAGGATCAAGAAAAAAATTACCAAAAGAAGATTTAGAATTTTTAAGAACGAATACAAATTTTACAAAAAAACAAATTAAACAATGGTATCGTGGATTTATAGTAAGTGATTGTTGATACTTTGTTTGTTGTATATAAAGTAATATTTGTACTTTGTAATATGTAAGTGTATACTTATTTAGAATGTTTAATATTTATTAACTTCTATTGTATAACAGTTAAAATAGAGGAGGTGATTTACAGTTAAGGTTAGTAAATCAGTCAGTCAGTCAGTCATATGCAACATGAAAACTTGGGACATGTTTCCATTGGTTAATGTTGCAAAACCTTATCAGTACAATGAGATGGAATGATCAGGAGAAATTCAGGTATAGTAGTGTAGTGAATGAGAACATAAGTGGGGACAATTGATTGTAGTTGAGCACAAAATTACAGAACATCTTAGTAAAATTTAAGAATATTTAGTTTGTAAAATGTCAATCAATTGTCTTAAACTTGACTAGTTTTTTATAAATATCAGTCAATCATTTGAGACTCCAGTGTTCCAGTATTTCCATACCAATTACTTTCTGTTTCTGTACTTTTCTTCTCTATCTTCTCGATCGTCTGTTGCCAGACATTCTATTCTTGACTAGCGTTATATACTACTTATGTCGATATACGTAGCCCACACCACAGTATAAGTGGAAGAAAGGATTTAAGAAAATTAAAACTAGTGAAATGAGAAACCAAACTTTATAAGAAATTTATAAACTTAGAACCTAAGAGAAGATAAATAATTCATTCACTTGCGTCATTGTGATGGATTGTGAGATATCTCGCCGAATGCTTCCAATCATGTGTTACGATAATGGAGCACACTTGAACTACGTAGTTTGTGTATACCTACATAGCTGAATGCAACTGGTATTTATTTATTTGAACACATAAATATTGGAAAAAAGGGGTACCTAATACATAGGCGTCACACAAGTCAGTTGGTTTGTGTGTGGGCTGTGATACTGCCCGGGTCCCCAGACCGAAGCAGGCAGTTTTCTTAGGAAGCCAAACCCGGAGCCTTCGACCTACAGGTCTGATCCACAATGCAATGGAGCAACGTCAGAAAATGCAATTTTATGATAGCTGGTGACCAATAATTGGTTCATACGCCATTTGTTCCTTCAGGATCTTGGAGACAATGTGCACCAATGGTTTGGAATGAGGGTTTTCCAACTGTCCTAGATGGACTCTCCGTGTCCACCAACCCAGTTAAATCGCTAGACATTCGCTTTCGTTTTCTCAACTGCGGATAACTTCATGGATTGATGCTACGTTTTGGTTTAGTCGTCTGTAGTCTTCTTCCAACCTATTCCTTTCTCAGACATCATGGCTCATCGTGGTAGATAGTAGTTGGGCATGTGTAATACATGTCCCAACCATTCCAATTGATAAGGATTTACTACCTCATCAATCTACTTGGCATCCTTACTTGGTACTCTGAGTCAAACATAAGAACTGATATTTCAGCGGTTCCAAATTAAATGATCAATGCTCTGGAAACTCCAATGATCGAAGTTGAACGCTTTAGAATTGTCGAATTCTCTGAAATATATGGTTTAATTGCAAAGCTTTCGTTATCATTCTGGATGACATCATCAACGCTCGCCTTATTCCGATCAGTTGATAAAAGATAGACACATCTAGATTGATTCAATCTAACAACCCTTACAAAAATGTTCAGTCAACCATATGATCATAACAACTGAACAAGATAGTTAAGTTGAATACAAAGAAAAAAATGATAAGGAAATCTATGGTGAACTAATTTATGACTCATGAATTATATATAAATAACCTATTTCAACATTAGGTAAGCACTGATCCAGAATAACAGCATCAACATAAAAATGATCCAAGACCCAAAGATCTAACTGATGGAACTAAACAATACCAAATGATTAACATATGTTTGAAAATTCATATATTTTTTTCCGAATAATACATATATACTAGCGGTTGTATGTTTACAGTACAGCTCACATTAACCATCTAAATTCTTATCTTGTTCAATTTTATCGAAAACGTTCAGTTTACTTATGAGACAAGTATATAAATATATATGGTACAGTTTATGTTTTATTAGCCTGAAAAATTCATAGTTATTATTAAATTCTTAATTTACATAAAAATCCACGTTTTACTTACTTACGTCTGTTACTCCCAATGGGGCATAGGCCGACGACCAGCATTCTACAACCCACTCTGTCCTGGGCCTTCCTTTCCAGTTCTGTCCAATTTTTGTTCTTTTTTCTCATGTCTGTCTCCATTTCTCGGCGTAATGTGTTCTTTGGTCTTCTTCTTCTCCTTTGTCCTTGAGGATTTCATGTGAGGGCTTGCCTTATAACGCAGTTGGGTGCTTTCCTCAATGTGTATCTTATCCACTCCCAGTGTTTCTTCCTAATTTCTTCCTCCGCTGGGATCTGGTTTGTTAATCTCATACTCTTCTATTGATAGGATGTAGTAACTTGAATTAATCCAGATGTATACCAGATTCTGTGTTGTTAAGTACTGATTATTTCACGTAAAGTGACTAATTATTCTGTTTATATTTTGTTAAAACCTACAGACTAATCAAATTCATATTCGGATTGAGATCGTGAACCGATTGATATTAGACCACCATTGAAAACCTGGAAGCACTGAACGGCCGTTTCGGCCTATTGTGGGACTTCTCAGCAATGCGTGCCCACGGTCCCGCTCGCGGGATTCGAACACAGGGCCTTCGGTGTCACGCGCAAACGTTTATCCTGCTTGACCACTGAGCCGGCATCCAGTGGTGTTAGTGTCTAACATCAACCAATCTACGAAGTTGAGCAACCATCTTCCATTGTACTGAGGTAGACACCTCTTTCTACCCGACACGGATTAGCTCCACTGGTCACGGCTCCCAGGTTTTCAATGGTGGTCTAACATCAATCAGTTCATGATCTCAACCAAAACTTAACAATCTCTACAACCCCTATACTGATAAATTCATATTCAATTACTTCCCATTAGGTATTTCCTCAATCTGAATTTTGACGTTACTCTACATTAAAAATTAGTATTTTTCAATCATTACAATGGGAAGATGAAGGATAACTACTGAATTTCAATGAAATGACTGATTAGTAGCATACTTATCACAAGAATTAAAGAGACTAGATTTCATTTATAATGTAATTATAAATGATCTGTACATATAAGATAAATTATTTCTGAATAAATTCACTTGGTATTGTTTACTTGATTCTTCCCATTGATGCTTAGGACTGTGATTGATCACTCTCTTGTTGGCATATGTACTTCTTGTGCAGACTGCTTCAATATTGCCTGAAGTCACAAGCGTTATAAGCAAAGATGGATAGTGGCTAACAGTAGAATCCAGGACTCATGTTTCGTCTTATTTAGTACTTGTCAACTGAATGTACCCTCATCTTAGAGTTGATGATCGCTCCGGGACTCGAACTCAGTACCGTTCACTGAAAATATATTGTACTATTTGTATTGGAGCAAAATTTATGCATAATATTCTATATTTCAAGCAATTTTTACTGATAATAAATCAGAATAAAAGTTTCTTTCTTTAACCTTAGATTTCATGATAGTTGATAATCTTTTAAGAATTGATACTGCCATAGAGATTTGAACTAACACCAACCAAGTTGACATTCAAAGATGTTTTAACGGAGCTGTTAATAAAGACTATTGAAATGTCAGCTTCACACTTTTAAACTAAAACCTATACATTAAGAAAAGTGTCATAATTATGTAACCTTCATTTAGAAATATGAATTAGTGAAAATAAAAACTAACAAGGATAATTTTACTAAAACAAAAAAATATTACTATCTTCCATTGTCTAAGATAGATATGTATCTCTACCTGTCGTGGATTAACTTCACTGATCACAGTTTCTCGTTAGAACTCCAAGGAATTACCTCTCAAAGCTAATCACTATTGAACATATGATAATTATTAGTAAGGGGTTGTAAAGATTATTGAATTTTTGATTGACATCATAAATCAATTAATGTAAGATCATCATTAAAAACCTGGAAGCAATAGAAGCACAAAAATATTATACTAATTATATATGTTATTTCAGTGGTTAATATCATGAGTCAGTTGAAGATAGATCACCATGAAAAACCTGAAAGCACTGGACGGCCGTTTCGTCCCATTGTGAGACTCCTCAGCACTGAGCATCCACGACCTCGCCTCTGAGAGATCCGAACCCACGACCAACTGATCTCGCGCGCTACCAGGTTTTCCATGGTGCTTTAGTTTCAACTGACTCATGATCTTAACCATTGAAATTACTATAATATCCACAAAACCCATCTGATATATGTTATTGACTGAAATAAATGAAAGAATGAAATTTTCTACAAGTAACATTTTATGTACACCAATTTGATTTAACTTATCAACCAAAGAAAGGTGTCGAATTGTTTTTCGACAGAACTAAAACAAATTACTTAATAATATTGATTATTTATCATTGATTATGGTTCATTCTTGTTTTAGAAAGTTGTTAACTATTCATAAATACCGCTAATAAATTTGAAAAGAAAAAAGAAAAAAAGAAAAATCTACTTCAAAAATATTTAAAACACTTTTATTTAAGTCTATAATTTATGTTACATTTATTGTAAGTGAATTGTTTAGATGAACGAAAATATAATTTAATGTAAATGATTTGTAGAGATTATTAAGTTTTATAGTTTAGATCATGAATCGATCTTAATTGGATAACCAATGGCAAATTAAGAATCAGAAGGGGTTTTGTGGAGATTGTAGTGATTTCAACAGTTCAGATCATGAATCGATTGATGTTAGACCGCCATTAAAAACCTGGAAGCACTGGATGGCCGTTACGTCCTATCGTAGGACTCCTCAGCAGTGCGCATCCACGACCACGCCTAGCATGGATTCGAACCCAGAACCTACAATAGGACGAAACGACCGTCTAGTGCTTCCAGATTTTCCATGGTGGTCTAACTTTAATTGACTCATGACCTCAACTATTAAAATTGCTACAATATCCACAAAAACCCCTTTTGATATTAATCAGTATATGC